GGAGTCATTTTTCTTAGACCTCAGGCAGCCGTAGCACCCCACCCCTGCTCTCAAGCCTTCGATGACGCCCCACTGCCAACAGAATAAAGTCTTGTGTCTTCAGCTCAACTTTCCAGACTCAACCATCGTCTGGCCCCAGTGATCTCTTCTACATTCCATTCCTCTGTTTCTTCTACATGCTCTCTACCATCCATGGGAAAGGTCTTCTGTGTAGTTTAACATGCTGTGAACACTCTTGTCTCCTGCCTCCTCTGTCTGTTTCCGAGATGCTCTTTTTCTCCAATGCCCATGTCATGTATCTTTCCTTGTTCATGAGAATGTTTCCAGCCAGACCATGTCACAGGCCCCACGTCTCTCCGCAGTCCAGCCCTGGCCCACATGGCGCCCTTGTCCTCTGTCTGGAGTAATGCTGTCCTCTGCTGGTGTCATTTCCATTTTCCATTGACATGTTACCCAGGGACAAACCTGTGGCTACACTTCTTTGGGTCCTTGGTTTTGACAAGGGTGTTTGGAACATGTGGCTTCCTGGTCAGTGATTTCGTATGCTGCTGCTGGTGTGAGCACACCGAATTGCTCCGTGCCTGCAGCTCCGTGATGCCTAAAGCTGATGGAGAGCCCCGTGCTGAGCTGAAATGGGAGGAGAGGAGAAAATTGTTGGTGCTTTGAGAGTCAAGGGCGGTGGTCTTTCAAAGGAAGAGGGGACTAGCAGAATCACTGCAGGAGAAGGAGATTCTCGAAGCTGGATGCCAAGAGGTGCTGTAGGAAAAGTTGTCAAGATACATGTGGTGGGGAACCACTGCTCCCATCCTTCTTGGGAGACAACTGGTGAACGACATAGTTGGCAAAGCACAGGGACTGGGCGGGAAGTAAAAGAGGAGACAGAGTACAATGAACAGAATAGGTGTCAGTGGCCTCCATTATCAGCTTTAACAGATGATTTGAAACTTTAAAGTAACAAGGAAGTTTTTATTCCCATAATTGTTAGTGATGTCTTTTGCCAGCTCCTCCCACGTGGCAGTGATTGACCATTGGCAGCTGGGTCTGCAAGCTCTCTTCTACAACGTCGCATCTCTGTGGGGACATATGAGGAGCTTAGTTCTTCCATCTGGAAGCAGGTTTCCTCTAAACCTTCTTGTGTTGTGTACTCTGTCCTTTTTACCCATGTCTCGGCCGCATCACAGTCTCGTCGATACTGCCCTTTGGGATCAGAAAGTAGTTCACCAAGAAGAAAGAGTAGAGTTTTAGAGAACCGGGGTGAGAATTCTGGGCAGCTGGCCAAGGTGTGGGCTCCAAGCTGAGCTCACTGACACATGATTTTGTGTGTTTCAGGTACTGGGACAGGTTTCCAATGTCAAAATCTTTGAAGCCACCAGGGCCTTTTTCTTTTTTTTTTGCCGGGTCTTGGCAGTACTCCTTTATACAGTAGGTTCAGACACTCAGGCTAAAGAAAGCATCCGGAAAAGATTGTCTGCCTTTGCGACAGTTTGTGGATAACTCATGATTGTAGTCCTGATCCTGCCACTCCGTCTTATAACTCTAAATGCGTGGTCTCACCTGGCTAGATAAAGAAAATACCTATCTCCTTATAGAAGTAGGTAATCTTCAACCCCATTAAAACATTATAGTTTCTTGGACATTCCATCTAATAGGAATGCCAGTTTACTTCCTGCTCTGTTGCCGGTCTGGCCATTTCAGTAGTCACTATTCAGCACTAGAGGAGGAATTCAGGCTCCTTTGTCAGTAAGGATTCTATGCACCATATTTGTTTCCAGGTCCTAATGGCAATTCTTCGTGTTCTGAAAAGAAAGAGAAAAAGGGTCCACTCTCAAGTCTGAGTTCGTCCCACTCATCTATGTAAAGAATATTCATGAGTTTGAAATGTCTTTGAGAATCAGGAAGGGGAGAGGAGACAGGAAGCAAAGGATATATTCTTGAAGATTCTGCTCTTAAGCAGGAATTCTCTCTAGCACTCCTTATTACTAGAATTTTCCATCCACCTCTTCTTTGTGCTTTTCAAAAGAAAAGCACAAAGAGCATTTAACACAAAGGAAAACATGAAAGGATCTTTTGATGGGTCAGTGTCATGGCTGTGACTTGGAATTTTTCACTAGATTAAAAAAAAAAAAAGAGCCACATACACCCAGGCAGTTTCCGTGTCACATCTGACATCATTGTTCCAATATCATGAGGCTGAAGCAGTTGTGGCTGATTGATGTCACTCTTCTAGCCGTTTGCTGTTTCCACAGAGAGGGGTTGGGTTAATCCAACTCCAGTCTAACTTTGGAGGCATCAAGGATTCCAGGCAGTGTCTCCAGGGTTTCTTTTTCCAGGCGAATTCCTGGACAGAACCAATGACATCCATGTGTCTTTGCATCTGCAGAGACCAGCTCAGGAAATGGCATGTAACATGCTGACAAAATTGTTTTGTTTTTGTATGACAGCAATTTAAAAGCAGTAAGGTCCTCCGTAAATACGGGAGATTACACTCGTGTTTTTCTTCTGAGCATACAAATATTTGCAGTGAGGCTGCAGCGCAGACTCCATAGCCATGGTGGCACCTGGGGCTCTGTGATGGGAGGCAGAGGAGATGGAATGCCGGTAGGAAGAGGGAGATGTGGTGTGGATGTGAGGGATGAGGGTGAACTACTTTCCCATGGCTGCTGTTACAAATTAGCCACAAGATAAATGGGTTAAAACAGTACAGATTTATTATCTCACAGTTCTGGAAGACAGAGGTTCAAATTGCATCTTACTGGGCTAAAATAAAAATGTTGGCAAGGCTGCGCTCTGCAGCAGGCTCTACAGCAGGGCAATTTTCTTGCCTTTTCTCATTTGTAGAGGCCACCTCCATCCTTCAGCTCATGGCCTCGTCCTCCGTCTTCAAAGCCAGCTTCTTCAAAATTGTCTCTGATCCTGCCACTATTTCTCCTGCCTTCCTCTGTCACTTATAAGGGCCCCTGTGATTACAGTGAGCTCACCCTGATAATCGAGGCTAATCTCCCTGTCTTAGGGTTAGCCTATTAGCAATCTAAATTCCACCTGCCATGTTAATTCCCCCTTTGCCAAACAATGTGACATATTCACAAGTTCTGGGGAGTAGGGCCTGGGCATCTTTGCGGGGGCATTGTTCTGTCTATCAGAGAGAAGCACTCAGAGATCCTGGAGTCTAGGGTCCTCATTGTACACCAGAGGAAGCCTGGGCTCAGAGGGTTTATGTGAATTTCAACAGTTTTCTCCATGGGAGGAGGAGAATCCGTTTTCTCCTTTTGATCCTGGAAGGTCTGTCTAGGAGCCCTAATCAAGATTCAGCAGGAGACTGGTGGCTTCCTTTCCCTCCCTCCAGTTCTTCCTTCTACATCGTGCTTCATGGCGTTCCCACTGACTGAGATGCTGGGGGGCCAGACTGAGGGGACAGTGACCATCACGTCAAATCAGAGAAGGGATTTGACGGGTCTAGTAGAAGCTTATTGTTCTGGCAGAAGCACAAGCTCTTAGAGGTGCAATTGCCAGGTGTGTCTTACTGGGAACACTGAGCTCAGCGACCATGGGCCCTGAGAGTTTGAAATCCTGGAATTTCCCCCAAAGCAAAGTCCATGTAGGGAAGCTAAAGTGTGAGTCTTACCCAACTGACAGTGACATTTGCTGCCTGGGCAGCTGCTGTGGGTGCTCGGGTACCCTACTGGACGAGGACCGGCCTCAGCAAAAAACAAAGGTCCCAGCTGCCCAGTGTCCTCTGAGTGGATGCTGGTGACTCTGGTACAGAGCCCAGGTGTAAGGCAGCAGGTAGTCCAGGAGGCACCAGAAGAGTTTCCTGTGAAGGTCAGGGCTGGAGAGGAAGGCACAGGGAACCTACTGCATGAGACTTTCGCTTGCAAAGAGCAATCCATGATGAGGGAGAATGCCTGGGGGCGTTGTGTCTCATCCGTAAGGGTGCCTTTTCCACGGTGCTTCATTTTGTGTAGCTGCACAGTCTGTACCCCTTCTCACTGGACAAAGAGCTGGCAACTGCCAGGAATACATCTTCTGACCAAAATCCCATTAGGGATCAAGGACCCAAGGATCCAAGACCTTCTTTCTTGGAAAGGGAATTCCTGAGAACTCTGAGATGACGCAGTCTCCGGTGGAGAATTACGAGGGACCCAAGCAGATGGCTGGTGGTGGAAATGTCACCTCAGTATAGTACTACAGAGTTTCCTTTCACCCCCAACAGCCGATGGATGGGAAAGGAGCCCTGGCTTCCAGGGTTGAAGAGTGAGAAGTGAACCAGGGTGTCTGCCATCCATGTGAGAGCTATGTCCTGTGGCTGAGGGCCAGGGGGCGTTGGGGACCACCAGGAGTGAAGTGACTTCACTTTTCCAATTAAGTGAAGTCTTTTGCACAATATTCCTGACCAATAGCCAATGTTCTCTGAGTGAGGGAGAGCTTCAGCCTCTGAAGTTGCGGTGTGGAGAGGGGGGAACTTGTAGGAAGACGTATGTGGGCAGAAACGTGGGGAGAACACGCTGGAACAGGCAGGGGCTCCATGGAAGCTGAGGATGGGTGTTCTGGTGGCGGTGTTGGGGGTGGGGGTGGCAGTGTGAGGAGGTGAGTGAGCAGGTTGGGTGGGAAAGAGGAAGAAACCTAGGCTATTGTGTTTCTGAAGAGATCCCGTATCAAGGAAGAATGGGTGGATTTGTCAGCCTGAGGACATTTCTTTTGTGGAAATGACCCCTAAGTGGGTCATGCTGAAACCCTGCTGACCCTGGGGAAGAAAGAAGCCTAATAATGCACTTTGTCTAAACCCACAGCTGCAGACAAGGAGACAGGGCACCTGCCACCACAAGGAAGAGTCAGTTTAGAAGCACAGCAGCTGCTGCCTTCAGGGGGTTTCCGGCTCGTTCCTCCTGGGACTTGGCAAGAGTTGCACCATCAAGGCTGCAAGAGTTGAGCCCCCTAGGGCACGGCAGAAAGAGCATCATGGAAAAGGGGAGCCCGCCAGCTGTTGAGTGGCTGGACAGGATGTGGGTCTGGGGTCAGGTGGGGCTTTAATGCCTCTTCATTCTCTGGGCAGAAGGCTGGGCAGCAGCAGCCATGTGCTTTGACGGGACCTGGGCTCTCCTGCTAGGAGTTCCTGGGGGCGGGAAGGCTGTAAGCTGAGGTTTTCTTTTAGGAATTCAGTGTTTGTCTGGAAAATGTAAAATGACCCACCACGGCTTTATCTGCTTCTCTTGAGGCTCCTGACGACTTCTGATATGTACAGACTGGAATAAGAGAACCTAGCAGAAATGGAGGCAGAGGCAAAAGGTAAGCCTTTGGGCCTGAAAAGAAGGCTGGGGGAGCAGTCTCTAAGACCTTCTTCCTGGTGAATGAGAAGGGAGGTGCTCTGGGGAGCCTATCCTAGGAGCTCATGGTTCCTGGGGAGTCTGGGGAAGAAGAAGCCCCTGAGCGCCTGATGAGCTCATGTGTATTGGGCCAGGTTTGTGCTTCTTAGAGAGACCCTGGCAATCTCTCTGTCATTGTGAGAGGAGTGAAGACTAGACTGTGAACATAGAAAGCCTTGCAGGTTCTGGAGCAAGGAGAGTTCCTAGAAATACATAATCAGTCCAGCACTGCTGGGAGCTGGAGAGGCCCTGGCTGAAAAATCCCAGCGGACAGCATTGCATTGTCGTTACTTTTCGTTTTCTGGAAACCAAGAACTTATGCCTAAATTGAATCCATTTGTCTTAGTCAGCTGAGGCTGCTCTAACAAACACCATAGATCAGGTAGCTTAAAATCCAGAGGTTTCTTTCTCCCAGTTCTAGAGGCTGTGAGCCTGAGCTCACAGCATGATCGGGTTCTGGTGAGGGCCCTCTTCCAGGTTTCAGACTGTCTTCTTGTATCCTCACAAGAGGGCAAAGGGTGAGGGAGCTCTCTGGGGTTCCTCATTTAAGGGCACTAATCCCATTCATGAGGGCTCCACCTTCATGACCTAATCACCTCCTAAAGGCCCCACATCCTAATACCATAACATTGGGGACCAAGTTTCAACGTACGAATTTTGGGAAGGCACGGACAGTCACTCTATAGCACAATTTCTAGATTTCTGTCCTAAACCACCAGTTAGGGTTCTGTTTCTGACCTAGTTAGCACAGGCATTTGATAATGACTGCTAAGCAATGTGTTTGTGTCTAAAAATGTGGTGTGACATTATCATTTTTGGAGACAGGGTCTTGCTTTGTCACCCAGGCTGTAGTGCAGTGGTGTGATCATAACTCACTGCAGCCTCAAACTCCTGGGCTCAAGTGATCCTCCTGCCTCAGCCTCCTGAGTAGCTAGGAATGTGCCTCTATGCTTGGCTAATTAAAAAAAATATATAAAGAGACGGTCTCACTATGTTGCCAGAGCTACAACTGTTGTTTGAGACTCAAACTCCTGGGCTTAAGCGCTCCTCCTGCCTTGGGCTCCCAAAGTGCTGGGACTATAAGCATGAGCCACCTACAGTGCCTGACTCATCATTCTTTGAAAGTTATGTGATAGATTGAACTGACTTTTCTTTAGAAGAATTTCAATATGATTTGTTAAGGTCTATAATGTAGCCTGTTACTACCTTAAACCTATGGATTCACTTAGGAAGTGAAGTCGTCATTGTTGGACCTATTCTTTTGATTAAGGTAGGTATGTGTGAAGGGTAGGAGAGGGCAGTGGTTAAGGGCATAGACCATGGAGGCCTTCCTCTGGGATGGGGTCTCTATTTTGCCTCTTAAGTGTGACCTTGGGCAAGCTCCTTAGCTCTTCTGTCCCTTAGTTCTCTCATCTGCAAAATGGGGATAGAAATACTGTCTTCCTCCTCAGGTTATTGTGAAGATCGAATGATATGTACATATTCTGAACAGTGCTTGGCCTCAAATATTAGCTATTTTTGTCTCTTAGTTCAGTTCTCAAAAATGTATTTCATTCATGTAGATTTTGCAATTATTTTTTGAAGAAAAATGTAGTGCTTTTCCTGTTCTTATAGCATGCCCAGGAAACAAGATGGTTTCTGTTTTGGGACAGATGATTCTGGAAAGATGTTAGAAATATAGTACACTGAAACCAAATCTTCCAGTATCATTAACCTATACCTCATGTTAGCCCTGCCTTTTTTTGTGACATGGTGGTCTCTGTAAATGGTAAATAACTTCAGTACATTCACCAAGTTATTTTTGGTTGTTTCTAGATTCAGAGGAAAATGTCAATGGAAAGCCGCTAGCATGGACACCCCACAGTGTTCTTCCCTCTAGCAGCCTGGTATTATCTGGAGCTGAGATGCTGGCTAAGGTGGTTGGGACATTTGTCCCCTCCAAATCTCATATGAGAATTTGATTCCCAGTTTTGGGGATTGGGTCTAGCGGGAGAACTTTGGGTCATGACGGGGGGCTTGGCGTCCTGCTCACAGGAATGAATGAGTGCTCGCTCTACTAGTTTGCTGGAAAGCTGGTTGTTTAAAGAAACTGGCATCTCCCCCACTTTCTCTCTTGCTCACCCTCTTACTGTGTGATATCCCTGCTCCCTTTGCTATCCATCATGAGTGGAAGCTTCCTGAAGCCCTCACCAGAAACAGATGCCAACACTATGCTTCCTGTACAGTCTGCCATACCATGAGCCAAAATAAACCTCTTTACCTGATCAATCACCCAGCCTCAGGTATTCATTTGTAGCAATGAAAAATGGACAAACACAGAAAATTGGTACTGAGGAGTGGGGCTTTGCTATAAAGATAGCTGAAGATGTAGAGGCAGCTTTGGAAATGAGTCAATTGATAGATATTGGAAGAATTTGGAGGGCTTAGAAGAAGACAGGAAGATGAGGGAAAATTTGGAACTGTCAACCAAAGGATGATGAGGTTCATACATGTGGAAAGGAGAGCTATATTTATCCTAAATGGTTTCAGCCTGCAGGGTGGCCATTCTGAATGGCTGGGAAGCATAGCCTCCGGCCAGAAGCCAGAAACAGGCACTTGGTGTGTCAGAAGAATAAAACAGGAGTTATGCTGAATGAGGTGGCCAAGTGTATATTCAGCAAGCTACAGGAGGAGCCACAAATATTTATGAAAGAAGAAATATGCACACGTGCACTTGACCTCCAAGCCCCTTCGTGGGGTCCCATGTTAAAAAAATGGTAGTGTTAGCAAGATGTGAGGGGGTAGTTTTTGGGCCCCTTCATCAAAAGATGAAGCAGAAGACACAAAAACCCTCAGTCAGTGTGCGGCCTCCCTAGATTGACCAGAAGCTTTCAGTGGTTGGTGGTCTCTTATCAGGAAGGAACACTGGTTGGTTGGCTTATTGAAACTGCAAAAGGGAGGGCCAGCATAACGTGGTTGTTTAAAATCAGTGGTGAGGTGAGTCTTTTGAAAGGGCTGGTTCCAACCCAAATGCCTATCGATGATAGACTGGATAAAGAAAATGTGGCACATATATACCATTAAATACTATGCAGCCATAAAAAAGAATGAGTTCATGTCCTTTGCAGGGACATGGATGAAGCTGGAAGCCATCATTCTCAGCAAACTAACACAAGAACAGAAAACTAAACTCCGCATGTTCTCACTCTTAAGTAGGAGTTGAACAATGAGAACACATGGACACAGGGAGGGAAGCATCACACACTGGGGCCTATCGGCAGGTGAGGAGGGGGAGGGGGAGGGGGAGCATTAGGATAAATATCTCAAAACCTAGATTATGGATTGATAGGAGCAACAAACCACCATGGCACATGTATACCTATGTAATGAACCTACATGTTCAACACATGTATGTAAAAAGAAATGAAAGTAAAATTAAAAAAAAAGATACC